TCAAAAAAGTTTCCTCTCCTCCCCACCTCAGTGACACTCAGTCATTGCTCAGCGTGCACAGTGCCGGCATGCATACTCATGGCTGTTCATTATGTGACGCTGAGATCCACACGGAGGCAGGGAGGCACTGACATTTTCCCTCAGAGCTGATGCACTGGTGCAGAACAGGTTCCATACGCACTTGGGCAGGTCAGAAATGAGCATGGCTTTCACAGGACAGATAGGAGCCACATTTTGCTTCTCATCACCTCGCTGAATGCTTTACTGTTTTAGAAGCTCCATGCATCCATGGAACAGTGTGGTCCACTGGATCAGAAGGCCCGATTCCAGTTCTCAAGCTGTCTCCACTTCACTGTGTAACCTTAAGCAAGTCACTCAAAACCTTGCTTTCCTCATCTATCAAATGAGGGTCGGCAATGAACTGTCAGCACTTTGCCTCATTGGCAGGAGAGAGAAATCCCTGAAGATGTGTTAAGCAATGTCCAGGTATATGAAAGCACACAGCAGTCTGCAGAAGCAAGTGTTCACATTTCAGGCAACTGAGTGGTCTGCAAGTGAGTTCGTCTTCTAAGATTTTGCCATGACTGATCAGAGTCTAGTAACATGGACCTCTTCAACATGTGTGTTTCTCCAGCGACATTCCGAAGTTCTTTGGAGGGGTGAGGTGTGGAGAGTATCTGCTAGTTGCATTTGTGGACCTCAGTCCCACTCCAAAGAGGGTACAAGTGGACTTGATAAAACCACTTGCCAAAATTTGCTGGCGACTTCCATTTTTTTTCCTTCTTCTATTCAGATTCTCATTCAACTTATTGAATGCCTTGTAGGACATCTTACATGTAATAGCTACTCAGAACCTAGTTGTTGAATTGTGCTGAACTTCTAAGGAAATGCATAATATAAAATTGAACCTACGTCATGTATGTAATATAATGTAAAATGTAAGCTAAGAAATCAGTGCTTACTCGGAAATAAATTGCGAAAGGGTAGTGCTAAGATTATAGTGGAATTTAATAACGTAATTGGTTTGGGTAAGAGATGCCTTTGTATTCCAGAAAACCTAAAACTTTCCGAAGAATGTGGGTATTCCTATTCCCAGTTCTTTAGAGGCACCGTCAGCATCCTAATAAGGTATGGGTGAAATTCCTTGCAGGCATTCAGTGTGCTTGGTGAACTATGGACAGGAAATTTAGTCAAGGCATGCGGGTGGAAAGAATCCTTAATCTCAATGCCATTGCAGCAGCCACAGGTCAGCAAAACAATACTTTTCAGTTTGTAGCAGATAAATCATTTACTGAGGAATTCTCACTAACATCTCAATTAACCAGAAATAGAGTAGAAGCCACTTCATATAACTAGTACCACCCTCCTCCCCGCCCCCTTTTTAATTTACTGGTCAAGTCAAAAAGAAAATTCACACAAAAAGGAATTTATGTGGATGGGTTCTGGGGATGTTTTAAAATCAGTTCAAATGCAGCCCAGTCTCCTGGAGCTTCCATATTTATGTCTGTATTGCTGGATGTGACAAATCAACCTAAGAATGATGAACCCATTTCCTATAAAAAAGATTGTGTTTGTTGTAAGTGTTGTCATGAATATATAAACAGGAATCAAGGCCATGGTTTCCAGAGCCTGACTTCCCATGGGGACCCTCTGAGGGGGGTGTTTGAGTTAACAGGATGCCTTTTCTTATGTAGGTGTCAAACTGCCATATTTTTCTTGTTCATCTTCAGATGCTACTGCCTGGGAAATGTATAGAGAAAGGGCTTATTTCCTTTAAAATTGATGTTATTATGGCAACTCGATATGACTGCAATTACAGTATTAGTTCCCTACCTTGGAAAAATATGTATTAACAAGACTTTCATGATTGACATGGGGAAAATAAATCCTGAATCACAACCATCAAATTAAAAATACAGTTCCCCTGTAGGGGCATTTTAGTTTGTTTATAAGTTAGAAACAGTTCCTTTTATATGAAGGCAAATAAGCTGACTGATACATTTTAGGAAGACTTTAAACAAGAACTTAAAGGACTCTAATCATTCACCTGAAATCCCTATTCTTAGTAGGGTTTTCCTGAATGTCCAATACTCTGTGAACTGATGAGCTTAATTTACTAGTTACAACGTGAGTAGGAGCTGTGATATCTTCAGCTCACATCATGTATAACATCTCATTTTGATGACAGCTATTGCTAAAGCCCTGGGTTGAGTAGAGCTGGGTTGTTTGATGGAAAATTTAAGCTAAGGGACCTGATCTCACGCTAAAGGAAACCGCCTTTCCCACGAGCATAAAAGAGATGGCAGTTTTCCACAACTTCACCATTTTGTCCAAGTAGATAATACTTATGTTTCCCAAGTCATGTCCCCTTCAACGTAGCCTACTGCGTAACTTGTGTAGGATATAAATTTCTATTCAGTTATTTATTTGTCAGTGTTTGTACAGCTGTGCCTGTGTTCATATGCCCTCTTGTGAATTTGTCCGTGGATAGAGGCTGTTTTGGGTTCAGATTTAATCTAACATGTCAGGGATATGATTTAACTTGCTGTATGATGAACATTTAATATGTGTTATTTGATTATTTCAGTATGTCTGTGTAGCTATACATGATAAAATATGTTTTATGAATATCAAACATGTTTACAAACAAATATTTTTTAAGATGTGTATTGGATTATGATTTCTGTTCATCCAAGCCCAAGGCATATAGCTTATATAAATCCTGAATAAATAATTGCCTTTCCAGATGACAATGATAAGAAGGTTTTATCAGTGTGGCCCAGGATCATTGAGCCTCGAAATACCAAGACTCAATGTTCCAAGATGGTCATTCCTCATATACTTATGATGCACTCATATTAACCCAAAAGTTTCTTTGGCTCGAGCCTCAAGTGTCTGTCATACAGTGGAAACCAATCTTATGGGGGAGGGGAGTATGTAGCCAGGGAGGAGGAGAAAGGTCCCAGCTGATGAGCTGGCTTCGTTTAGGTGCCATGACACACAAACACAAATAGCAGCCTTCAGTCTCCAGAGTTGGAATGTCATTATGACAGCCATTTGCCGCCCATGGCTAAAGAGCACTTGAAATGTGGTTAGTCCAAACCGAAGTCTGCTGTCCACATGAAATCACACTGGACTTTGACATTTTTGTACAAAATAGAGAATGCAAAAGATGTCAGTAATACTTTTTATATTGAATACATGTGGAAATGATAATATTTGAAGGGATGCTGGATGAAGAAAAATAGATTAATTTCACCTGTTTCTTTTTCCTTTTTTAACATGAATTCTAGACAGCTTAAAACCCCTCGATAGGCCCATGCTTCTCTCAGGCCGCGGGGTCCTGGAGGAACCCTCAGCAGAGGGACACTCCCGCTAGATGGCACTAAGGATCTGAGAGCACCTGAAGTGGGCAGAATGAGGCGCCACCTCAGCTCAGGAGGAGCTACTCCGAGGAAAAGAAAGCCTCACGGTGGCCCTTCTATTTAGGTTTTTATCCCTCACATTCCTTTGAGGTTAGTTAAATAGGATATAATGTGACTCCACTGAATACAGATTTCAGGACTGAGTTTGTCCATCGCAGAGCCCCAAAGATAATTAAAGGATTAACTGTGATCATCATGGCTTCAATAGCTAATGATTCTATAGCACCGGGTACAGGGCTTGTCTGAAGTGCCTTCATATTCACTTGTTTCATCCTCTCAACAGCCCAGTGAGACAGGTACTGTTATTACCTCCGTTTGGACAGATGTGGGTTTGAGACTCAGAGAGATTATGTAATTGGCTAAAGGTCACACTTCTAGAGGTTGAGCCAGGCAGTGGGATCCCAGGGCCTGTGCCCTCACCCACAATACAATACCACACTGTAAAACAGAATCTTTTTTTGATACTTTCTTCACACATTACGATGCCTGCCTCTACATCATATAGCAACAGTATTAGTCTTTTCTCCAAAACTTAGATATTGTTCAGTAATTTAACAGCTAAAGCATTAAAAAGTGTCTACTGTCTCAGAAGTCGGAGGCCCAGTGTAAGGTCATAAATGATCCAACTCCTTGTGTTTCCCTAAAGTTGACCCCAAAACATACCTTAGTTCAGTCTGCTTAAAAATGTAGGTAGTGGGGGCCGGCCGAGTGGCTCAGTTGGTTAAGAGTTGGCTTGGGAGCATGAGCTCTGAGTAGCAGGGCCGCCAGTTCGGTTCCCACATGGACCAGTGACGCTGCACCCTCTATAGCTAAGATGGTGAACAACAGCTCGACCTGGAGCTGGGCTGCCATGAGTGGCTGGCTATGGCGTAGGCTGCAGTGGGCTGCCGTAAGCTACTGTGAGTGGCCGGCAGCCAACATGAGCGGCCGGCAGCCAGTGTGAGCGGCCACAACCGGCGAGAGCTGCCGTGAGTCGTGTGAGCGGCTGTCTAGTGGCCAGCGACCAATCTGCCTCACCTGGGAAGAGCACAATGATAATACCAACATGGGCCAGTGAAGCGACATCCTCCACAATTAAACCGAAGATCAAAAGGACAGCAACTTGTCTGTTTCCCTTCCCCGATTTCCGAGCACTGTTCCCCTCCCCTAATTCTCCATTGAGAAAGAAAATGTAGGTAGTGTAATTCCAAGTAAATAATATTAAGTACCTCCTGCATGCCAAACACTGTGCCAAGTACTGGGGACACAGATAAAGATGACAAATTCCCAGCTTGTAAACGGCTCTGGTCTAGGGAACCTAAAGCACAGCCCTGCACCAATGTGTGTAGAGGGTTGTGTGTGGTGTTGTGGGGATGGAGGAGTGGCACATCCACATGTTTGGGGGTTCAGGGTGGAGGTATAATATTCAAGAAGTCTTCTAAGAGGAAGGAGTGCTTGGGCCATCCTAACGTACCCTCCCACTGGTTACCTGGGGTTTGATTTCTGTTGCATGAAAGATGACCGTCAAGCTCAGTGGAAGCATGTGCGTCTTCTGGGTGGTTGAGAGTGTGCTGATGCCATTCCTTGGATTTTCAGGTACCAGCAAGGTCAACCTCGTGAAGATCCCATCCACGGCCTCCAGCCCTCGAGACACAGCCCTGGCCGCCGTCATCTGCAGCGCCTTGGCCACCGTCCTGCTGGCCCTGCTCATTCTCTGTGTCATCTATTGTAAGAGGCAGTTTATGGAGAAAAAACCCAGCTGTAAGTTTTGAGCTCTTTCTGTGTCTTAGCATTTTGGTGACATGCGTTAATCATCTTTGTCATTTGCGTGTTCCATAAGAGACTTGAGTGAGACAAGAGTCAAGGAGCTGTTAAAGGGACAGAGAGCATATTAATAGACCTCACAGTCCTCTCACCCTAAAGAGGTACCGAGGGAGCCAACTGAGGGGTAGCACTACTTTATAAGGACATTGAAAAGGCAGGGATGTCCCCATGCCACTAGACAAAAAAAAAAATCGTTCTAAGTTCTGACAACATAAGTACTCTACATTTTGAGCTTTCTTGACAAATCATTTCATATTTGTGCCTTCGTGTAAGAAGAAATATTTTAAATGTGAACAATAGCCTCCTTTATCTTTAAAAATACAAAATCTAGAATGGTACCAGTCTGCATTGTGACATGAGTGGATCCTTTGTAGAGGAAATTGTCTTCACTGACAGAATTCTCGCCTCCTCATTTAGGGTCTCTGAGAGCACAGGACATTCAGTACAATGGTTCTGAACTGTCATGTTTTGACAGACCTCAGCTCAGCGACTCTGCTCCCAGGGCGTGTTGTCAGTGCCACCGGGACTCAGCCCAGACCTGCGGTAAGATCAGCCCGTTAAGAGTCCATAAGGGGAACCAGGGGCATGACATTGAAGCTGCCAAGAACTGTTCCTCTTTGTCCCACAGCTAGATTGTTCTGCCTCATATTCTGCTTAAAGCTAATCTTGTTAAATCGATGTTCTCCACCATCCCCCGATGTTTGAGTCTCTTAAGTATTCAAAAAGAAAATAATCACCTCATTAAAACCCTAGAATTTTCCAGCAGCTTTCTGAGCAAGTTTGCCTTTGGTGTTTTGAATCGATTGATTTAAAATGATACCAGCCTTTCGTAGAGTAGGACTTTGTGTCCTTTCTCGTCTGGTGGATTCACACTGAACATTGATGCATCCGTCTTAATGTCTTTTTGGATTTCTTAAGGAAGAGGGAGGAGGACACTCTGTGACAGGGTTTTCCACAAACCATAATTGCCTCCTAGATTATTGACAGAAATGAAAGTTTAGGGAAGCAATTCAAGTGGGAATTGGTTTCTAATGTGGGCAAAAATGGGCAAAGGTCATACCAACTTTCTTTGCCACTTATTTATGTTCAGCAACACAAGGTTTCTATACTTACACTCCCCCTTCCGGTACCCCCTCTAATGACCTCACCTCCTCTGCAAAATAAAACTCGATGTGGCCCGCAGCCTTTCCTAGAAGCCTGCCCTGGCCCCCTCCTCTCCCCACTTCACAGCTCTTAGCACCTCTGAAGCAATACCAAGCGCCATTTTGTCTCTTAGAACAATTGTTTAAGTTAAATGTAGCCCAATGAGGCTGACTTATCCCCTTGAAACTGATCAGTCTTTCTTTTCGAGAAATTGCAGGATTCAGCTTTCATTCTAATATTTCATATGTGGAATAAGGAGTTTTAGTCAACATAATTACCTTTCTACTGACCATTACTATATTCTATTTGAGGAATAGGTTTAAGGGTGAACTATAAGACTTGTGTATATGGATCCACTTTTGCCTCTGCCTACGTAGATAATAGACTCTTAGATGGCTACTGACAGTAACTTGGAGACCCTCAAAACGCCCCAAGCTTTCTGTTTCCTAGATACTATACCATGACATTACCACTAGAATCAGAGTGAGGAGGGTTAAATTTTTGAGATGAACTCAAATTTTAAATGTAATAAAATATAGCTTTGTGCCAACTCTGCCTCACCTTAACTTCTATCTGAAAAGAACGATCACATATAGAACGATTAAATATGTGATGGCCTTGTTGCATAGCCTCTTAACAAAATGCTGACTTTAATCCCCCCATGCTAATGCCCAGGTTCAGTATTGTTTATCATTTAAATCACTTCCTCCTTAATAACAGTGCCTCTTTTCTTTTAACTTTTTATTTTGACATTATTTCAGAGTTACATAAATGTTGAAAGACTAGGACAAAGAATTCCCACATATCCTTTACCCAGATTCTCCAAATATTAACATTTATCTTATTTCACATTTACTTTATCATCTTTATCTAAGTACGTATATGTATATATACCAGAGGTGCCAAAAAATGTAAACACATGACTTGTATTCATCTTTTGTTATCGGTATATATTGAGTATTACAATTTTAATACAGTTTTTTTCATTTCTTAAGATGTGTATACATTTTTTGGCACCCTCCTCTGTGTGTGTGTGTGTGTGTGTGTGTGTGTGTGTGTGTGTGTATACATACATACACATTTTTTTTTCACTTGCCATTTGAAAATCATTTGCAGATATGATGTTTCTTTACTCCTTAATACTTTGGTGTTTGTTTCCTAAGAACAAGAACATTCTCTTACATAACAACATGATTAAAATCAGGACATTAACCTTAAGTCAATGCTATTATATAACCTACATAGCATGTTCAGATTTTTTAAAATTGTCCTAATAATGTCCTCGGTAGCAAAAGAAAATCCTAGCTAACACTGTGCATTTCATTGTCAAATCTCTTCAGTTTCATTTAATCTGGAATAGTTCCTTAATCTTCCTTTGCATTTCATGACATTAATGTTTTTTGACAAGCACAGGCCAGTAATGTTGTAGCGTGACCATCAGTTTGGGTTTTTCTGATTTTTCTTATGACTAGGTTCAGAAATATCACAGAGGTGATGTTGTATCTTTCTCAGTGGCCCACATCAGGAGGCAAGGCTTCTCTGCTCTATAATTATTGCCGTTCTCTTTGTAATTAATAAAAACCTTGCAGGAGAGTCTTTGAGACTATGTAAATAGCTCTCGAAACTTTGCCCAGTAGTTTAGCATCCTCTGATGATTCTTACCTGAGTCAGTCATTACTATGATTGTTAACAAATACTGGTTTTCTAATTCCATCCTTCTCTCTACATTTATTAGTTGGCTCCCTATTGTAAAAAAGAACATCCCTTTCTTCCCCATTTATTTATTTCCTTTAATTAGCATGGACCCATGGACCCCGTTCAATGGGCTACGATCCTTTGCTGTCGGTTTTTATTTTGACCCTCAAATTTTCCTAGACTTGGCCAGTGGAAGTTCCTTCAAGCTGGTTCCTGTGCCATTTTGATATGTTTCACTATTCTTTTAACACTTTACTTCCTGGCACAAAAAGAAGTTCCAGGCTCATCTTGTTACTTCCCCTTTCCTGGAACCCCAGAACCAGCAATTTCTGCAAGGAGTGGCAGTGCCTTTTGCTTTTAACTAATTTTGAAAAATTCCACATTGAATATGACATGCGTTTGTTGGCTTAATCGATAGTGAATCCAGGAGACTTCCCCATGGTCATGGTAGCGTTTATTCAGATAGTACAAGATGGCGGGCGGCCTGCTTTAAGAGAGATTCAGATGAAAGTGGGTTGGGTGTCCCTCCCACTTAACACTAGTTTGTAATTGCATTTCAATATTTAACATTTATTTTTTTAAAGGGAAATATTAGTTTTATAATGTTATTTCCCTTTTTATAAAAGTAAAGAGATCCTCATGGAAGTTTGAATGCACACACAAACATATACATGTATATGTAAATAGATAATTTCTTCAAGTCTTTTCCTTTTTATTTATGTGCGCATCTTTGTATTTGCCTGTATGCTTTCAGGGCGTTTATGATTATATAAAATCAGTATTATATGTGTATGTATATGTAGACAGAGAAGTCTAGAAGGCTGTTCACTAAATATTGACAGTGTTTATTTCTGGTTTATAGGGTTGGGGAAGATTTATTTTTAAATTTATTTAATACCTCTCTCTATTTTAATTTTTTTTCCAATACATTTGTATTATCTTTGTACCAAAAATATATACTGCTTCAGTGAACTTAATGGTTTATTAAGCTATGTGCACATATCTAGTTATTCCTTAAGTTACATTCCTACCAGCAAAAAAAAAAAAAATTGTGTGTGTGTGTGTGTGTGTGTGTGTGTGTGTGTTGAGATAAAGGGTTTGAACATTTTTGTGTTCTTGTCCTATATTGCTAGACCATGCAACAAAAGCGTACTATTGCTACTGTCATCAGTAGTGCATGAGAATGTCATTTCACATGCCCGCTCACAGACTGCACTATTACATTTCATCATTTATTTTAATGTAGTAAGATATGCATAACATAAAATTCACCATTTTAACCATTTTTAAATGTACAGTTCCATGGATTAAGTACGTTCACATTGTTGCACACCCAACATCACCTCCATCTCCAGAACTTTTTCATCTTCCCAAACTGAAACTCTGTTTCATGAAACACTTAACTCTCCCCTTCCCCTTCCCCCAGCCGCTGGCACCCACCCTTCTACTTTCTATCTCTATGAATTTGACCATTTTAGGTATTTCATATAAGTGGTTCATCATTTTTTAAGAGAAAAAAATTAAACCTCATATTCCCTTCCCCTAAAAAGTCACCCAAAGAAGGATAGCTAAATTTTCAAGAACGATGTTGAACTGGTATTAAAGAGAATGTTCCAGAAAAAAGCACTGTGCTTCACCTGTCTGCTGGCTTTCCTAGGGCCTGTTCACTTGATCCCATCCTTGTGCTGTGACGATGCCTGCAGCATTGACCGGGTGACTCTGGGTTGCAGGGTGCATTCCAAGGCCACATTTCAGGAGAGGTAACTAAATTATAAGTAATTATAATAATATTCCCTTGTGCCAATATGCATTCTACTCACCAGTCTTCATGTGCAACATTTGAAAATGTTTCATGGGGGCATCACTTTTAATATGAATGACATTCTGGACATTGGAAGGGCATGTGTTTGGCAAGAATTAGGTAAGTCTCTCAGGGTTATTAATATTCAGTGTAACGTGTTTTATACTTACACTCTATTAATTTTATTTTTGTCTTATAGTCATGATTTGTGACACTTCTGTCATCTGCAATTTTTAACATGTCCTAACTCTTAGAATTTTAGAACAGCCATCAAATTCAGTTAAGGCCCAGGAAATGGCACATTTTAGACATTGGATTAAGTATAATTATACTGATTAGAAGTATATATAAATTCGTTTTAAAATAAATGGGGTAATTAAACTTACAACAGGAAGCACTAGAATTCTGACTTAATAAATTGCTATTTCATCTAGAAAACTGAAAAGTATGGTTGGAATGTTGCTTTGTAGTAGTGTTTTTCATCCCCTAGAGCACTAAAAGGTCTTTTGAACATGTGTTCAGAAACTCAGGTCTGGTGGGGGAGATGACACCGACTTTCTTCAGGTCCCTTTCGCGATCTATCTGTGGCGAGTTTTCGGATGCCTGGCCTCTGATGCAAAATCCCATTTGTGGTGACGACATCTCTTTTTGTGACTCATATGCTGAACTCACGGGAGGAGATATTCCTTCTCTCAATCCAGCAAATGAAAGCTCATCATCCTTGGATTCAAACAGTAGTCAGGATTTGGTTGGTGGAGCTGTTACAATTCGAGGTCCTTCTGAAAACTTCACAGAAACTACTGATTTATGTAGACATAACAGCTCAATGACAGAACCAGTGCTAACTCAGGATATGCTAACTACGAGACGCCAGCTAGATCAAACAAGCGGCGATATCATCCACCTAACCGCTCAAGCGTCCCTCCAGGTAAGGCAGTGACTGATTTCAGTGTGGACGTAACATTATGACCATGGGACTGCAGCTCAGTTCCCACCATGCAATGCAGGGGAACCTGATGGGGAGGCTTTCCATCTTTTATAACTTCTATATGATATAGGAGAATAGATTTTACATTAATTTCAAGAGTTTTTTTCTTTATTTAGCTAACAGCTAGTGTATAAGGCCATAAAGGGCAGCTGCATTTTTTAATTCTTTTTTTGTAAATACAACTACAGTTGACTTTTGAACAATGTGTGGGTTAGGGGTGCTGACCCCATGCACAGTCGAAAATCTGAGTATAACTTTTGACTCTCCAAAAACTTAACTATTAATATAGTTTACTATTGCCAGGAAGCCTTACCGATAACAGAAATGGTCAATCAACACATATGTTATGTGGATTATATACTACATTCGTACAATAAAGTAAGCTAAGAAAAGAAAACAGTCTTAAGAAAACCCTAAGGAAGAGAAAATACATTTATAGTACTATACATAATTATTTTTAAAAGTCCACGGGTAAGGGGACTCGGTTGTTGGAGGGCCCACTGTACTTAGCACAGCGCCCCCTGGCTCCATTCCCGATTGACAGAGATGAACTAGTTATGGGAGCATCTTGTAAACAATTCCTCACCATCATTTTTTGCTGTGATATTCTTATGCCCAATATTTAAATGCACTCCATTCAGTGTCAAGTTCATGAGAGTTTAGGTCTCCTAAAGCTACCCCTTTCCCTCCTCTCTCTTTTACTGTTGTTTTCTAGATCACTCTGCTTCAACTGATTGATTAGTTTGGTTGATTGTTAGTTATAAGTTGGGACTAAATGCAGCATAAGAACCATCTCGAGTGAAGGGTTTAAAAGCAGGTTTGGGGGGGCGATGGTGACAGCAGGCAGATGGGGCTTTCTGGCTGCAAGACTGGAGGCAGAGAGGTACTTGGGGACAGCTGGGCACCGTCCCTGCTTTTTCCTCCAGGTGAGGATGTGACTTTTGTTGAGTTTAACGTAATGTTTATAAATATTTCCTTAATGTAAACACATATATTGTTGGCAGAAATTTTCTGGAAGGATGATGCCAGCCTTCAGAATAAAAGGGCAGAGTCACAGCAACAGTGAGGCTCCCAGGCCCCACAAGACCAGCGCTGCCCGTCTGCTTGTCCCTGCTGCCCCAGCCAGGGACCCTGGGTCCCAAGGCAGCACTCTCACACATGCTGCATGTGCTCCTGGGTGTATCCTTGTCTACTTTTGTCAGAAACAGTCTAAAGTCCACATGTAGATTGGAGACATGTTCCTTTTAAGATCAGTACAGAGGTTATATATTGATCGAAATCTGCAGTACTTTCTTTTAACTAAAAAAAAATTCTCTAGAGAATTTATAAGGAATTCTGTACAAAAACATTTGTTGACTTTGGAGAAAAAAAATGTTTTTTCTCAAAATAAGGGAAATGAAGAAGAGATAAGTAAAGGGAGGAAAAACAAACAAATTAGGCAGTTCAAAAAACATAAAATACCTACCCCTGTAGCTGGAAAAGATTGTTTACTGACCTTGTTCTTTTGAGTCCTCTCACAATTTTTATAACTTTCATGATAATAATAAGAAAAGACTGAAGAGTTAGCCTAGCTGAATATAGGTCTCAAGAATGGCTTTTGGCCTACAAACCTTTGGGGCTGAGAACACCCAGCAGCCCAGGTAACCGGCCCTGACAACAGGTGGGTGAGAGACGCAGGAAACAGGATAGAGAGGACCCCATTCCCTTAACAAATAACCCAGTCAGATGCCTTGTTATATACTCCAAAATAAAAGCCTTAGGACTCTTAAAATTTAGCCTCAGTTACATTTTCATTACAAGATACTGAAGTTTCTTTTTATCAAGTCAGCTGGTTTTGATGACAGACTTACTTGTGTTACCTTCACTAACATTTTTACATCTTTCTGTACATCATTGTTAAGGGAAAGTCCGAGTAACTAAAATGATTGTGCTACCAGCTGACCAACTACAGTTTTTCAGGGTATTGTCAGTACATAGAATTATGACTCATCTTAATTTTGTATCTTGGCCCCAATTTTGTGATGTTAGTTCTAAGACGAAGGAGTGAAACATTTGATACCAAGTCATATCAAAACCAACTCATTCTCTATGTTTTCTGTTTACGTTGTTGGTGAGGTGGAGGCAGGGTTGATGAACATTGTTACCACAGTTACACAAATGTAAAATTTTAGAACCAACTTTAGAAAGATTGGTGAGTAATGACATTAATCCCTTTTCAAAAACAGTTGTCAAGGTGATTATGATCTATATAAAGATACTTTCAACTCCAATTATTATTAAAAGAAAGTTATAATTACATATAAAAGAATGAGAAAATGTTAGATTCAAGTTGCACAATGTAATTTATTAATGAAAGGGTTTTTTTTTAATGCTTTAAAATTTTATATAAGTTGCATGTAGGCTAAGATACATGTTTCCTTAATTCTAGTACAAACATTTATTAATAATACCAGCAATGTTTCAAACAAAAAGTCACAGAAAATTGTAATTATCTTCATTAGTTGACTCAGCTCTATGGAGGTAATTCTTGTCCTGCCTGAACTTGAGTTAGTAGTTTGATAAATAAACCGGCTTCTTCATTACTTCTGGAAATTCTTACTAAGTCTAGCATATGTCACAAACTTTTCCAGTGGTGCCACCGTGGAGTGTTTGTGTCCGTAGCCGTTTTAACAGTATTTCCGGAGGAGACATTTTAGCTTTTATTTTGTCCTGACTTGTAATCTGATTCCCTGTCATTCAGGATCAAGACAAAAAATTTAAAGGTTCACACATCCGGTCCTGAGTGAGGGGTCTGGGACTCCGTGGTGAATCTGATCTATCCAAGTTGTGGCATTATAACTTGGAGATGTTCTTTCCTTCTGCAAAACATACTCATAAATTCTCCTTAGGACCCTGAAGTTATCTCTTTCTGCTTGACAAAGAGCAATGAAAGGTTTTCATTAGCTTTCCAAGATGTGTTATCTTGTAAGTGTTAGATAATGTTGGTAAAGCTAAATAAGGTGTCCTGAATTTGGGAAAGGAATTGTTAAAATGTAAATCATTTCAGTTTTTGCCTGAAAATTAAAAACAGCAAGTAATATTTTGATCCATTCTAAGAGATAATCTTTTCCAGATTCTGCAAAGCACTTTCTCTTCAGTTGCATTTACTGAAATGTGTAAAACTTAGTGAATGAACCTTAATCTTCAAAAGAAACTAGGAGATAGCCACAAGTGCACATCTTTGGGAAATTGACCCTCTTCTTTATTTCAGGGGTTGACCAAATATTGACCAGTTCTGTTTTGTTTTTTTTTAATCCACTAGATTCCAAAAGGCAATTCATACTTCCTCTGACAGGCTAATTCTCCAAGATAGACAATATACTTACTTCTCATAAAAATTTGATTATAGCAGCTTACTATTATGAACCAAAGCACAGAAAGGACTTCTAGTTCCTGGAGGTAATGTTTAGTCAGCTTGGCTCCCTGGCATGGGCTCATTCGTGCTTCAGGAAAGCACTGTATTTCCATTTGGGAGATGTGGAAGGGCAGCTATAGCCATAACAGCATTTTTTATTTTTTTAAGTGATTATTTTATTTTAAATAAAATTTAAAATTTTCCCCCAAGCATTCACGTATATTTTTCAGCTTGTTAACCTCTATTGACTCTTTTCCCCCCAGTTTTATTGAGATATATAATTGACATATAACACGTTAAAGGTGTACAATGTGATTTGATACACGTGTATATTACAAAATGCATAACGGCACTTTTGTCTTTACTCGGTGGAAGGCTCAGATTTCTAATGCATGATGCATTTGTTTCCGAAAACTGTATTTTTACACAGTAGTTTTCTTGTGGGTGGTGTAAGACCACCCAGAATCTGATGGTGATAGTTAGGGTTCAGGATAAAGCAAATAGGTGTGAGAGCCTTCTTTAGTCGCTATGACTCAATTTTAATCAAAATTTCTCTTTACATGCCTCTCCAGAAGGGAACAGAGCTGAGATATTTGGGACCTCATTGCTAAGATGTTTGAGAGGATAAAGCCAGCCTCTTCACTTACAGGAAAAGCTTTTTTTGGTGGTGTTTTTTTAACCAACATTTTAAGTGTTGACATGAAATAATGCAGCAGTTCTCAACCTTCCTAATGCTGCGACCCCTTAATACAGTTCCTCATGTTGTGACCCCCAACCATAAAATTATTTTCGTTGCTACTCTATAACTGTAATTTTGCTACTGTTATGAATTCTAATGTAAATATCTTTTTGTTTTCCGATGGTCTTAGGCGACCCCTGTGAAAGGGTTGTTCGACCTCCAAAGGGGTCGCGACCCACAGGTTGAGAACCGCTAAAATAATGGAAAGAATGGTAGGAAAGATATGAAATGACCTGGGTTCTAGTTTTTCAATCTATTAAAATCACTATTTCTTTCCATGTTGGCAAAATGAGTATAAGTTGCCTCCCACAGTAGCACTGATATGGTTATTATTATATCTACTGATCAATATATTTGACAAAACTATTTCTTTTTTCTTTTTTTTTTTTTTTAAAAAGATTTTTATTGGGGAATTGGGGGAAGGAGAACAGACAAGTTGCTGTCCTTTTGTTCTTCAGTCTAGTTGTGGAGGATGTCGCTTCACTGGCCCAAGTTGGCACCATCATTGCGCTCTTCCCGGGCGAGGCAGATCAGTCCCCGGCTTCTGGACGGCCGCTCACTGCGGCTGCTGGCCGCTCACGCTGGCTGCTGGCTACACACGGTAGCCCATGGCAACCCGCTGCAACAGGGGCTGCAGCCTATGCCGTTGCCGATGACTCACAACAGCCCAGCTCCAGGTTGAGCTGTTGTTCAGCATCTTAGCTGTAGGGGACAGTGTCACTAGCCCTCATATGTGGGATCCGAACCAGGGTCCTCTGGTGTCCTAAGCCAGCTCTTAACCAACACGCCACTCGGCTGGCCCAACAAAACTATTTCTTAGACCTAGGAAAAAAATTTTTTTCACAAACTTATCTAATATGTCACCAATGCCAAATTAGCAGTACCTAAATTAATGAAGTCTTACTGCACAAAATGAATGTTTTGCTTATGGTAATGTGCAGTCGATGCCTCGTCCGCTGGTGTGGTGAGGTCTTTTGTGATAAGGACAAATTTAATGGCCCCACTTGGCAGAGGACACTGGCCTCAGGAAGAGTGTGAGCATTCCAGGGAAAGCATTATAAGAGAAATCTCATTGCCAAACTATACCTGAACTTTCTACAACAGTTTAATATAAGTTTTAAATTCAAAAACAAAGAATAGCACTATGTAGTAATCATCTTTGTTCTTTTAAAGACAAGTCAAAAGGCTCCTAAGGTCTTTCCCTACAATGCTTTAAAAGAGTGTAACACAGGGACAAACTTTAAATGTTTGAATGAGGTTGAAAGTCGGCAAAAGAATCATTTGGGAATACATTTTGTTTGCTATGGGTTACGTTTTTGTCTTTTAAGTACTACTATCTGCAAATATTGAGTGACTAAGAGTTATTAGGAAACCTTTTTTTTATCCTCAGAGCACATGGGTGCCTGTATATTTAACACTACACTATTCATGCCCATATGTGATTAAATTCATGTATACTGCTAGTAAATGTTATGTATATTAATTTTTTTACAATTACAGTTTTGCAGCTTTAAGTCATAAGGCATGGTTTTTACAGTTTCCCTTCTCTTGCTGTTTTAGGAAGCTTAAAGGACTCCATTCTTGCTGAACTAGAAATGCGCGTATGGAACCCAAGGGGCACGCACTCCTCCACTTAGGCTTAGGGGCTGAGCACAGTCTGGACCTTGCACGGCTTCTGGGGGAAAGAAAATAAATCTGAACCAAACTGATGGCATTTTAAGCCTTTCAACAAGCAGTTGTTTCTGAGCCAGACCAGCTGTAAGCTGAAACCTCAAGGAATAACAAGAAAAGACTGCAGGCTCTCACGATGCTTCGCATCTCTCCTAAACAAGAAGCTTCTATGCTCCGAGCGTGACTTCAAAGACTGATGTGTGGAGCTCGCAGCCTGCGAGGTTACGGGCCTATAACAAGAACCAGAGATGCAGTCATGCTTATTTTCATGGTGAATGTGGTTTTACAAGACTGAAGACCCAGAGGATACATTTTCATCTGCATTTTCTTTTCCAAAAATAATTTCACATAGCCGATTATCCTACCGAAAGTCAATGTCAGACTAGTTACTGTAGTTTTCATGTAGCATGGGTTCAAAACAGTGTTTCTGATTGATGAAGGTCACTTTTTCATCATCTAAACTAATTAGCTTAGGAGGCTCGAATTGACTTCATCCTGCCTGCCTAAATCTTGGGTTTGTTAGATGAAGTCCACTGGCCTGAGTAGAAATCAGAAGAGAACAAGTTCTTTCCAGAATGGGCACTCCTAACCTCAGCCACCTCTCTCAAACCCCTGCTAGAGCTGGTAACAAGAGGGGATTGAGTTAGGGGAAGAGGTGGGGGAAGGGCTCCTCACCTTGGGTCAGAAACCACTTAAAGCACATATCCTAGAGACTTGCATTCAAAGATGAGCATACTTCTGTGAAAATCAGCATTTGCTACTATGCCTGTGACTGAGTTTAGAAAATCCAGAATTTCTCTTGTATAGGAAAGTGGTATTTATAAAGATAATGATCTTTTTTTCTCTTTCACCCAACCCTTCCCCCACTCCTCTTTCTGGCAACCACCAATCTTTATATCTATGAGCTTGGTTTTGGGTGTTTTTGTTTTTGATTTTGCATCCTATCTTGTAGTAAGGCTTTAGAAAATACAACATATCAGGTTCCCTACTACTGAAATGTATCACCAAGTGAGTTGTCTTATGAGACCACACTCCATATTAGAACCGGAAGAAAAAGCACATTTTGTAAGCGTTTAGGTGAACGGTCTGTAACTGCCGTTAGTGTAGTTTGACCAGGATGTTATAGTGTTCCCTCCGATCTTGTAAACGTGGTGAGGACAATAACCTCTCATCTTAGCCAGATGATGCTGGCTTTAAGAGTGTGGTGCTTCTATCCATGCTCTCGCTCCATCCTTTCTCACCTTGGAATTCACGCACTAGAATTCTAGTGGTATCTAGAGATATCTAGAGCTGACAGAAATGAACCCAGTTCAGGCACGAACCAGGGGGCGGCTCATTTACTCCTCATCTCTATGCCCTGGAGAGGAATTAATTGAGCAGGATTAATTTTTTTCCTATTATAACCTACATGACCAGATCTGGCCTTTTGTCTTTTAACGGATCACTATTAGCTTTGTCATTCCACTTGCACTTAAAAAAGAGAGACCTTAGAAATAGAACATCAGAGTGTTAGAGTCACTGAAATATTTTATTTCAGAATTGCCCCACCCAAATCAGTGCCTTTTACTTAACATTTAAACTGAATATTAAAAAATCTGTCTTTCCTAGGACATTTTTATCTTCTCACTTATTACCCCATGCTTTTCTCTCTTTGCAAGACATTAGTGAATCCTTGTGGCTGGAACAGTTTATCCATAGTTTCAGGTTCTGATATGTATATATTAGCTTACTTGGTTTCGGTAATTCTTGTGACCTTAGTTCCTTTAGCTGAAATAGGAAATTAGAGGACTGTCTCATGGTCATCCACAATCTTTTGTGTCTCCTGAGTGCCTATGCATAACTGAGTGACTTTTTTTTTTCCTTTTTTAGCATAAACCATTGGTTCTTAAATGTTGGTGCTCACCAACGATCTCTAATTTTGAGAATTGCCCTTAGGAAATTCAAGTAAAATATTTAGGATTTGACCACAAGATGTCTATGCAAATGCAAGTAGAGTTTCTTTGAGTGGCTTCACTGTAATTCACATATGTGTGCCATTGTTTGCAATCTGATCATTTTTGTTATGACAGAGGGATGATCAAAGTAGACTGGGGTTGTGCTCATTTTTGTAACCTGAATATATTTTCCATATGTAGAGCCCTCATTAACTTTAAAGACAAACACTTGCTGGAGAAAGCTAGATTGATGGGAATGAGATTTTGGCGAAAAATCCTAAAACATCACTTTTGATCAGTAGAGAAATACTCAGGGTCGAAAGTCGATTTGATTTGATAGTGCATTTGAAAAATCCTGGGTTATTTTTATCAAGATGAAGACATTTTACCCCCACCTACTGTAGAAACATACAATGTTATATTTTACACTCTTTGTAAACACTTGAGAAAAAAATCCATTTTGCATTTCACATTGTTGGGTTATGCTACAGCATTCAAATAAACTCAGCTGCTAGGGTGTTGATGCCAGGAAACCATCAAGTAACAACAGGGCTGGGAGTGCACCAATGGTGACTTTGAATGCTGCAGAAACTCATCAACAAGAATGAGACAATGATTGGAGAGTGACCACAGAAAGACATGGGTTTTCTAATTTCGTGTATATGGAATATATTTTTCAAATATAGATTGTTCTACTTTAGATGAAGTGTTAATATTGCTGTTCCCTAGGTTAAGTACGATCGATCGTCTATGCTAGTAAAAAAAAACTAGATAAGAAAAGGAAAAAAAAATCCATCACTGCTTTAAGGTAGCTTGAATCAATTTAGATTTCATCCTTACTGTTTTGCATACTGGAATTTATAAATTTGTAAATTTTCATTTTCTTATATGAATAGTTTTGTAATACCTTTTTTATTTGTGAATAAAATTGTTACCTGGTGTTCTTATTTGCATGTCCAGTAAAATGATGGATGGTGTGAATGCACACCGTCTTTCCGTCCCTGTAAGAGTGTCACTAAGCTCTGACCCTTCCAGTGTGACCCTCCTCTGGCCCCTCAGACTGTATGGGGGAGACCTGAGCTTCTTACTAGAGACCCTGCTATATTCCTCAGGCATGTCAAGCTACTGAAAAAATGCTTTGAGTTATCTGAGAAGCTTTGGTATCAAGATTTTATTATGATCTCTAATTTTTTTCCTTCATTTTATGACACAGAGAGGGAAGGAACTAAAGGAGAAGTTTTACATTCATTCTTTGTGGAGGTCGATAGGGTGTTCTGCAGAGAAGTGGACTAAAGAAAGGAGGAAAGTTCCATGGAGCAACACTGCTCACTGTAAGAGTTTCCTTTTTCCTTCCTAGCTTCTTACCCTCCTTCTTTCTTAATTCCTGTATCCCTTCTTTCCTTCCTTCCCCCAGTAAAGCTTTAAAAGCTATTATTAGATTTTGAGAGAGGACTTTCAACTTCCCGGAAATCAACTGGGTTATTTTAAAGTGGCACCATATTCTCTCAGCTGGTCTTTCTGTGGTGTGAAAGGATGCTGTGGCTTCCCTGAGGGGACACTAGCTTCTTTCCCCTTCCACCCCACACCCCCACACCAGCCCCTCCGCTCACGTAGACTTTTCTGGTGTCCATGCAGCCTGGCTGGGCTTATGGGTGCCATCAACTCTCTCAGAAAAGTAACTCAAAGCTTATGAGGTTCTAACAGGAGGTCTCAAGTAATCTACAGTTACACAAATGACATATTTGCATTATTACCACTGTTATTAATGTCTCTTTGCAGTTGATTACTTGTTTTGAATTTGTCTATTTTTCCTATTTTAACTCGGGGGGATGTTGTCTGATTTTTTAAAAACCTATTTGGCACCCAATAAGGTATGTAAATACCGCTTTCATTTATCCTTCGGTCATCTTGAAACTAAACAGCAGCCTGAGAATTTCCAACATCTTCTATAATATCTAAGAAATGTCAGTAAGACCTGGTGTGTGACTCTAGAGATGTGACTATCCTGAGTCAAGCCAACAGTTCACAGTGAAATTGCTTATGTCACATTTCAGCCAGAGGAAGGTCACTGGCTTCTACTGCAGAGATTAAGCAGGTCGGGGTCAGGTCCTTTCATAAGCCATGGGTGGCATTTGAATTAGTATGATTTATGACTGCTTTCAAATTAGTCTCTCTGAGACTTGAATTTTTAGAACTTACCCAGCAAATCTTCTTTCTTTGGAACCATGGGTGGTCTTCTGATGCAGGTGTCAATTATTAATGTATAAAGACAAAGGAATCTTTCTTTTTATCTTCATTTCTAATAGCATGAAGGACTCCTGTTTAAGACAGAAGTAGTTGTATTCTCTCAGTTTTGTTTGGGGTTGAATTTAGCCAGCAGAACTCTGCAGAGGGATTTTCCGTACCTGGTTTGACTATTTACAGTAAATAGAAGACCTACCGAGCACTGCCGGCAACCCTTTAACAGCCAGTTAGGAAAGCAGGCTGCCCCCCAGCGAGGCACACATCACACACCTCACTGTATCAGGTACAAACTGTTCTCCTTGACGTCCTGAACACAAGCCGAATTCCCCCCAGAGGACTAAGAAACCCGTTTCCTATGTTCATCCTCCATTCATCTATACACTCTGCATGTATACAGTAGTATAGGCTACATACTTGGTAGCAAATGCAATGCCAGGGTTGAAGCAGACACTAAGAAGTAAGAGAGAGTCAAACCTTTTAAGTATTTATAAAATAGGTCTTGATTGTGAAGACATCAGTGCATATCCTCCTGGAACACCGGGGTGCAGGGCTGCTCTGGGGGCAGACAGGAAGAGCACAGGACCTGGGGGAGGTCCGCCCTGGAGGACTGCGTGGTGCTCACCCCTCGGGAAGGGAGGAAGGAGCTAGCACAGCTCCTGCAAAGGCCCTGCTTGGTCTGAGTGATGAGAAGCACAGTGGGGCCGGAGCATGAGAAGCAGGGGCGAAACTGCTGAGACCTGAGCTCCGGCTTGACAAGTGTCCAGTACGCTCTGCCCCGGGCTTTCAACTCACCCTGTAGGGAATTTACTTGCCTTTAAACAAATGGGTGACATGACACAAAACTCTCAAATCTCTAGTCCTTTAGAAGCTTGGAAGTTACAAAACTAGTAAAGGTAAACCTCTCTCTAGGAGCACAATCACCCCAGTAATTGAGAGAACATGGGCACCTGTATGGGGGTGGGGTGGACACTCAGTCCTTGGCTTGAAAATAACCAGACATTGTTCTCTACCATTAAGGTCACCTTGGTCCCATCCTGATTTCAAGGGGGACGGTGCCAAACATGAGATATATGTTTAGGACTTGGCTGAACCACCTGCTCACACCAAATCAACATCCCGCCTGAGTCCTTGAGAAGGCTGAAGTCAGGGGTGACAATCCCCCCACCCCCAGGAGCCTGTGGACAGCAAGCATCACACATCAATCATGACCTTTCTCACGGGTGCTGGGAGCTCAGAATGAGGGTCCTACTCAACCTGAGCTCCAAGCACCTCTCCCCCACATCTGAGTTAGCCTTTGGGGTGAAATGTATTTGTCTTCTCATTTCTAAATTTAGCCAGCCACCTCCACCTGAGAGCTAACATCTTGCCTGATCATTTTTTTCTCAGCTCCTTATTTTTATCTTTGAAACGCTGTTGCTTTGGCTGTTAGTTACCCACTCCTGGCTGAGCAGCCTTCCCACAGGAAGTCTGGGGGGGGGGCAGGAAAGCTGGTGTCTGGGTTGGGGGGAGTGGGGCACGGGGGAGCAGCCTGTGCCTCTTGTTTTCTGCTTCCTCTCCTTGCGTCCTGCTCACGAGGAGTCCTCATTTCCATGGCTGCACTCCACACCCCCCGCACTGACTGATAGCTCCTGGCCACATCCAAGATCTTTGCAGATATTTTAACCACAAATAAGTGCACCAAGAGGTAAATGAACGGGCCAGCGAGAGGTGGGGCCCAAGCATAAAGTAGAGGGAGAAGTCACCCAGAGAACCCCAGGGTCCTCCCTAGAACCCTGCTTTCACATTTGCAGGTGATACCCCATGTACTCTTGAGGGGCCTAGAACTAACAAGCAACAGCTGCAGCAATGGCGTGATGAGGGGCCTGCATCTTTTGGTAGAATGAACATATCAATACTCAGGTCGCTTACACCTAGCTTTGGATCTTGAGTGAGAAAGGGGGATTTACAGAGCTTTTTCAAATGCAAGATTTAGGATGTATGGGGTTAATGTGGGGAGGAAAAATTAGAATTAGGACTTGTAGAAAGGAAAGGCTTCCTCCTTCAGTTATTGCCTTCTCCTTCCTTTCCTGTCCCTCACCTTGTGACCAAAAATCCTGGTCTCCAGCTTACCAGCAACATAGGTTCCAGCAAATGTGGAGGCTGCCACCTTGGTTGTCTGACAGCCTCTGGTTGGATTCACACAACAGCGCACGAAATATAACCAGAAGAGGGGCCCAGGGTGGCATTCAAGTCACAGCTGACGGTAGCTTTTGTGTTCCCTTGAGGACCCCCAGATTTCATAAATTGGCCCGGGATTACCTGAGATTGGCTGCCCAGCCTGAGGCCAGAGGCAGCTTTGCAGGTGTCCTTCCCTGAAATAGAAGTTTGATGAGGTTAATGGAAGGCCAGGTCCCAGTAGAGGCCTCCTCAGAGACTGTCTTTTCTCAGTTTATAAAACAGCCAGCTACCCAGAATTCTGTGGACTCTAGGTTACTCTCTGAGTGGATCTATTGTGTGGGGAATGTGGTGGTTAATTCCATGTGTCAACTGCCTGGTCGTGGTACCCAGATATTTGGTCAAACGCTAGTCTGGATGTTACTATGAAGGCTTTTTTTTTTTTTT